TTTAAACTCCTCACGTCATAACCTCGTTTTTCAGGGATGGACGTCAAAATCTGGGGTAGTCTATTGCCTCACAAATAACATCAGTTATGAAAGAGGCGTTGCGTTATACCTACACCATCAGATACCATGCCATTAATTAAACTGCTTACTTTAGTGCAGTTTTAGGACCGCAGGAGACCCGAGTTCAATTCCGGAAAGGCGAGAATTTTTATAGATTATTTGGGTCTTTCTGTTGTATCCCTCTCAGCCTGGACCGACCCTGGCTGAAAGGTACATCAAAATACACCTAACTGATATTATCTAAAGTGTGTCGAAAGAAGCGTAAAAACATTTACATCTTTTTAAACGGTCCAATATTCAGTCCAGGATTGTGGTTGACTTTGACGTCACGTTTCTACCATACGACGCTTTCTAGCTCTTTAGTTTAGTCTTAGTAAAGAGTTTTTCGGAACTTGCAACACAATAAGGTCATATTAAGTGCCGAAGATCAGAGGTATTACAAGAGAGTAACAAACACAAAAAAGGAGGAGAGATAAAGACAATAGATGTTTGATAGGAAAGAAGGAACAAAACTACACCAGAGCACCCGCTAACCACCACCCACTGTCTGTCTGTCTGTCTGTCTGTCTGTCTGTCTGTCTGTCTGTCTGTCTGTCTGTCTGTCTGTCTGTCTGTCTCTCTCTCTCTCTCTCTCTCTCTCTCTCTCTCTCTCTCTCTCTCTCTGTGTCTTCATTATATAGTCTAAAACGTATATACTTGCTGTCGAGCGTGGAACACACGCTATACAAACGCTATATTAGTTATTTATCACGTATTATTATTACTCATTTGTCACCAGATTTGGGCCCAAACGAGTGGTGGTCATTGGTCTGATCCTTGTGTCTATTTTCCAAGTGCTGGCCGTCCCTGCAGCTCGCCTGGGCCTTGGCTGGCTGTATGCTGACCGCGCCATAACTGGACTCATTGACGTGAGTAATTGTGTTTCTTTAGTAAGAGTTTTACGGCACTTGCAACACAATAAGGTCATTGACGTGAGTTATTATGGGTTTTTTAAAGTAAAAGTTTTACGGCACTTGCAACACAATAAGGTCATTGACGTGAGTTATTATGGGTTTTTTAAAGTAAAAGTTTTACGGCACTTGCAACACAATAAGGTCACATAAGTGCCGAAGATTAGATGATAAATGTTACAAGAGAGTAACGTACACAAAAAAGAAGGAGGGGAGATAAGGACGATCGATGTTTGATAGGAAAGAGGGAGCAAACCACACCAGAGCACCCGCCAACCACCACGAGTAATGATGTGGGGACATTTGGTCAATCCTTTTTTTTGGAAGGGGGGGAGGGTGTTTTGCGTCGCTCGCAACTGCATAATGCCATATGATTATGAGCGCGATGGACATAATAAACATTTTTAGTTTGGTAGGAATTAATTGTGTCTTGTTGTTCATGTAAGTACGATGAGAAAAAATAAAAAATTGATGGAATTTCTGAACATTGTGACGTTATAAAATATGTTCAATGTTTTTATCCCCCCCCCCCCCCTTTTTTTTTTCTCCTCAGGGATTTCTGTACGCACCGACATTCGCTCTGGTAGGCCAGTGGACTCCACGCTATGAGACCAGCTTGCTCTTTGGCATCGTGGGAATGGGTGAGTTGTGTGGGGTGTCTTTGTCTCTGTCTCTAAACTCTGTCTTACCTCCTCTATTTCTGCCTGTCTCTGTCTCTATCTATCTATCTATCTATCTATCTATCCATCTATCTATCTATCTATCTATCTATCTATCAACTCTTTTTACTTCTGTCTTTGTCTCCGCTCTCTGTCTTTCTCTTTCTCCCCCCCCCTCTCTCTCTCTCTCTCTCTCTCTCTCTCTTTCTCTCTCTCTCTCTCTCTCTCTCTCTCTCTCTCTCTCTCTCTCTCTCTCTCTCGCTCTCTCTCTTTCTCTCTCTCTCTTCCCGGCTTTCTCTTTCTCTGTCTCTCTCACTCTCTCAGTCTCTATCCCTCCCCATCCCCAACGACGTCT